CTGATTGGGCAGGAAAAGTTTTAAAGGAAGGTTGTGGTTTGTTTGTTTGTTTGTTTTTGTCAATTAACACAATTCAGGGTGACGGAGGAAGTCACAGCCAAGCTGATCAAAAGTGCCAACCATCAGATTGAAAGGGACGGTATCCTAGCGACCAGGCTGTGCACACACAAAGATGACGTGGATCTCACCAACGAGAACAAACTCCAGCAATTACCAGGTCTGAATTCTTCTGATTGCCCCGCCCACAAAAAAAAGAAACACGTGTTACTTTGTTTGGTTTGGATCCAATTGAAAATGGACAACACATATGGCAACCTTGTTATAATCCATTTCCTCTCAAGAGTGTGGTCTGTCCTGCCTGGCAATTTGAGAAATGTTTTATTTATTTATTTTCCAAACTGTTTCATTAACTGGCATAGACATTTCTGATCGTCTGAACAAAAAACCATAACTTTGTGAAAAGCTCAACTCTGACTCTTTTTCCTGCTGTTTCTATACATTCAAGTTGTGTTTACATGTTTCTGCCTCCCCAAATGCCCAGTTTCACCCAAGATGAACCCCAAACAGGTGCTTTCAGTCTCAACAAGGTGCTGATTTTGTCATTTCCTGTAGTGGTGTACCAGTATTTTCATGGACACAACTATTCAGGAAACTTTGGAGTGTATTTGGCCGACAGTAGCAACAGATTTTTATATGTATGTTTAAGGTCTTCCCTTTCATTTCCCCCATCACATTTACTGTCTGTTTACACATTCCTTTAAGAAGTACCACTAGTTTTCAGTTGAATTAATCTCTCACTGCTCCTTAGGGTCAGCGCGTCTGTTTGAGGCACTAGACAGCGACCCAGTGCTGGTCAACACTATAGATGCTCACAGTCCTGTCGGCAGGCTGATCGAACTCAAAGTGGGAGCTCAGGTGTGTGTGCACGTACGTGTGTGTGTGTGTGTGTTCCCAGAGAAACCATTTTATTTTACACAAACCCTTTTTAACACCTGCTTTACTGCTGCTTGCTTGTATTTTTAAGGTCATGCTAACAAAGAACTTGGATGTTGCTCGAGGTCTGGTGAATGGAGCACGAGGTGTCGTGGTTGATTTTGAGTCTGGAAAACATGGTCCGTACCTAGCTGTGAAAATATATTTGTTAAAAATCCTACGGAAGCAATGGCAAGACAGGATTGCATATTAGTTTGACTTTTTTAGGAAACACACTTGTCTACATCCTTGGCATCTTGTCCAATGCTGTTTGTTTCCACAGGACTCCCACGTGTGCGTTTCCTGTGCGGCGTCACAGAGGTGCTGAAGCCAGAGCGCTGGGTGTTTAAGTCCGGTGGTGGGATCCACCTGAGCCGACAGCAGCTGCCACTCAAATTGGCCTGGGCCATCTCCATCCACAAGAGCCAGGTCAGTAAACATTTGGTGCTCACTTCCCGATGATGACCTTATATTTTCTTTGTAGAGCACGTTGTTTGGTGTTGTCATGGGACACCAGTGTTTTATGTGGGTTTGTCTTTGATAAACTGTTTACATGATTATTTAAAAAGTTAAAATTAAAAAATTAAAAATTAGTTCAAAACTGTGAAGCACGGTGGTGCACTGTTGCCTCACAGCAACAAAACAAACAACAAAAAAATGGCATGATTAGGTCTAATTCCAGCATCATATTATTCACTTTGCCTCCTGGTTAACATGAGAGTGAGAGGAAGACAGAAGGCAATTTCAGAGGTGCAGATGGTGCTCATTTTTGTATTTTTCTTTTTAAAAAGAAAGCTTGAGTATGTTTATATTTGGATTGTCTTGCATGCCAAATTATGTTCAATGGTCCACCGCCTTGCAACAGCTATAAAATGGATTGTATTGAAATGTTGTACAAGCAGAGCCTGTTAGTTGCCTTAAACTCTTTGGACATGTTTGCACTTGTTACTGGAAACATATTTCTCTCCTTTTGTAACTATAAAAATATTGTTTTAAACTTGATCTAGTCACATGGTTTGCAGATGGTGAACATTATACCTGCTAAACATCTTTTTCTCTCTGTCACCAACTTTGAAAAGCTGCACTTTGTCAGTGTTCAGTGTAATAAATTAAAAATGTGGGATAAAAAATTAGAAAAAGGAATATATGGAATATAATGAATATTTAATTTACTCTATGTTCCACTACATGGAAATATTTGCCATCCAATATATTTATTGCTTTTATCTTTATTAGTTTGGACCAGTTACAAAAATGGAACAGTGGTGGCTATGCAGTAAAAACTACATAACCTAATCGCTACAATTGCTGACTTTATTTAAAAAAATAAAATAAAATAAAATAATTCACATTGTGATCAATTTAAAAATCAGTTAATCGCAGATTCCTGTTTGTCACTATGAGCGAAGTACAGAGTTCCTCTGTTTAACATGTTCTGAATGTTCAGCTTGATTTCAAAGGCTTTTTATTGTCTATAGCTGACATTAGCAAACATATTGTAAAAGTAACAAGTTGTTTTGGCTTGTTGGACACACCACTAATTTAGTTTTCTTTTCACATCTTAAAATATACCAGAATAATATCTTTATAAATGTAAGATTTTTTTGATTTTTTTTTATTTATTTATTTTTAATTATCTCTTCATTTTCTGAGATTTTAACACAAATTCACTTGACTGGCTCTCTGTTAAAGAGTTGGCCAGACCAGGGTCTGTCCTCTTCCTCTCTCTTGTTTTCTCCCTTCCTCACTGTTCTAATGCCACCTAGAAAGCACAAAAACAACAATATCACATAGAAAGTCCCACTGGCCATTTTAAATCTTATAATGATCGTATAACAGGCAGGGAAAACTAAGTGCAACAATTCAATTTGAAGGAAAATTGCTATAGAGGCCCAATCTAACCACAAGCTGTAACTCAACAATTGGCAATCTTCCGCTCTGCTGCACCAACACACTCAATATCCTAACCTCCATCTGAGAATCTAGCTAAAGGTAAAAGGGTCATCTCTGGATAATTGGGTTAATTGGTAATGACCAATGAGTGCAAAGGGGTGATCTACAGCAGACATGTCAGGGCACAAGGATGTAAAAATTAGATTCCATACCAATGTCCTCATAGTGTGACCTGAATAAATTATAATTTCAGGTTGGAGGTGTATACGCTGGTCAGGTGAATCTGAAAGTTGATGCTCCTGGCCTGTCACAAATCTTATACTGTAGACTAAACAATTACCCTTTGTTTGTTTCCCTCCAGCTAACAAAAAGCTGGGATCTTGTAAAATTTAAAAATGCAATGATTTTATTCACAACAAAACAAAAATACACATCAGATGTTTAAACTGAGACATTTTACCATGTCCTGAAAAATATTAGCTCGTGATGAATTTGATGGGGGCGGCAAATGTCTCAAAAAATGGGGGCGACAAAGGCTGGAAAAGTGGTATTAAAAAGAAACAGCTGGATGAACATCAGGTCAGAAACATTATTGGGTTTTAAAAGAATAATAATAATAATTTTCTCCAAAGTCCAGCAGCTGGTTTTCTCAGTGTTTAGATGTTTATGGACTGTTGCTAAAAGAAGAGTGGACGCTACACCCTGTCCCAACTTTTTTGTTTTAAGAGCTGTTGCTGCCATTAGATTCAAAATGAGCGAATGTTTTCTTTAAATGGTACATTGTGTTTTTATTTGCAATTTAAGCAGCAACATAACAATTTTCTAATTGGGGTTTGTAGTTGAATCCTAGGATCGAGTAGTCAGCTTTTGGGTTTTTCAAACACTGGACTTCCATCAGTACATGTTGTTTTTATGTAACAATGATGGTTATCATGTTATGGTTTTATGCTTTTGTTTTGAAGGGAATGACGCTGGACTGTGTGGAAATATCTTTGGCTCGTGTGTTTGAGAGTGGCCAGGCTTACGTGGCCCTGTCTCGGGCTCGGAGCCTCGAGGGTCTAAGGGTCATGGACTTTGACCCCCGCGTGGTCCGGGCAGACCCAGAAGTCCTCCTCTTCTACAGAAAACTGAGGAAGGAAAGGTTGCTCATGCAGGTGAGGGCAAATATTACCTCAGCCTGTAGAAAATGTTTATTCGTATCTCACATTTTCATTTTTTTTTTTTCAGTTTCTCATTTTCATTTTTATATAGTTCAATGTTAAGTTTATGTTAAGCAGAACAAAATGAGACCAAATCTCTCAGGTAATATTTTGGAAAGCTCCTTTTTCCCTAGAGTTGGTGAGATGGATCAAACTACACTGGAGTGCTGTGGATGAAAAACTTCATTCACCAGCTGTACTTATGATCTTCTTTGTCCTCATTTTTCTCTGCAGGCCTCCATGGATGATTTTGTTAGCAACAATAAAGAAAATGCATGGTGAGGCTGGCTCTAAATCCACTCTAATGATATGCACTATGTGCATGAGCTATTGAGCTATTTCACCATTTAACCTTATTTTCTTGAGACTTCAATCTCTACTTGGAGTCACACTGCCACCATCTGCTCATCACTATACTTTTTTTTTTTTTCAGAGGTTATTTTTTTAAATTATTTTTTTACATGTATTCAAATAAAATTTTAGCCAAATTATTTGTGTGAAGTTTTTTATCAGTCCTTAATATTTAAGGGAGGAAAAACACTCAAACAATGACGCTCCTTGGCTTTAGAGGTCTCGGGGAGAAAATAAAATCTATAGCTGCCTTTAGTCACCGAGTGGCAGCATCCACTCCTAACATTCTCCCACCCGTTTGGGATGATGTAAGGGAATTAACCGTGTCTGTGTTAAAGCTGTGGGGAGAGAAAAAATGCTCTGATCTAATTAACTTTACCTCAACTGCTTTTCAAAAATTGCAAACGTGGGACAAGTGTTCCAGTGCATGCGCCATTAAATAGAAATGCCAGAGACCAATTTTGTGTCATCGTAAACATCAGTGAGACCATTTAGCGTTAGTGGCTGGATAAAACTAATTAAACCATCAGTCATGGAGTCCTCCCGAGAACGCGGATGCTCTGAAAAGAAGCAGCTCAGACTAAGTGGAATCCAAAGACAACCTTTATTTTCTGGTCAGCAGAGTGAAGTCATGACCAAACCTGAGCCGGTTTCCATTACTGTAGCAGCATATTTGCTCCAACATTCCACCTCATCACATTTTCATTACAGCCAATCCCTTCTTGACACAAATTTTTAAAGTGTATGCTCCAATATGTTATTAGTGACTCTTGATGTCGATACTGCTATCAGCTATATTAGTATGCACTGCATACAAACAGGTGTCAGGAACGTAGTCAAAGGGAATTCAGGAGAACAACAACAGGCTTCATTTGTAGATTATTTTACATTATCAGAAATTATATCGGGTCTACTGGACGGGTTGTCATTTCACATTGTGGAACAGCTTGTGTGCGACCTGTAGAGACAGAAAGTGAAGATGAGCATCTTCACTAGGAGAATAATCTTTCCTTTGTCTAGCGCACACTTACACAATGGTCCCGCGCATGCAGGAAGTCAAAGAGTTCTTCTGTACACTCCTCATCAGTGTTGGACCTTGAACTGACCCGGGTTTCACAGAGCTCCAGACGCTCCTTGTAGTGCACACAGTGTTCAGTCTCCTCACACTTGGCTCTTATCGCTTCTAGAGGATCCTAAAAAGAAAGGAAGCCATGCTAATCATCAGGAAAATGATGGCAAAAACTCTGGTAGGAAAACAACAACTCTCAAACCATGAAGGTGATTTTATAATGAAGTTAGAGGTTTAATAAGCCAGGCTTTCTGTGTGCTCAAAATGGGGCGTTTTATTCAATTCAATTTTATTTATATAGCGCCAAATCACAACAACAGTTGCTTCAAGGCGCTTCATATTGTAAGGTAGACCTACAATAAATACATACAGAGAAAAACCCAACAATCATATGACCCCCTATGAGCAAGCACTTTAGCAACAGTGGGAAGGAAAAACTCCCTTTTAACAGGAAGAAACCTCAGGCAGAACCAGGGTCAGGGAGGGGCGGCCATCTGCTGCGACCGGTTGGGGTGAGAGAAGGAAGACAGGACAAAAGACATGCTGTGGAAGCATCATATTACTCAAAATGATCCCTACGAGTGCCCTTTGGAGTGCTGTTTATTATTTCTGTAGAAAAATGTTAATCAAGTGATTTACTCTACCGAGCAATAAAACAAACCTTTTAAGCTAATTATTTTAACACTTGGGTGCTCTCAGTGCTGCCGTTTATCTCTAACATCATGGCTGCGCTCAGAAATTTTAAACTGGATCCATTTAAACATTGAAGGTTACTGTCCCACAGCCTAATGTGGAAACTGCATTATTATTTTAGCAGATCAAAGTGAAATTAATTTGAATGATTGAACAGGTATTCTGCTGTCCGTTCTGTTTTCTAGTAGGTGCAATACTAGCAGTACAAAAGAGACTTAATAGCAGATTAAAACAAAATATAAAACATTTATACATGTTTTTCATCACCAAATGAATACACGCACATGAGTCAGTGAAAATACTTCCAACTGATTTTAACTCACAACTCTGAAGATCACCTCCAGACTAGGTTATATGTTTTCAGCGTAAGTTACCAGGTACACAGAGAGCTGATTTCCTAAAATATAAAACTCTGATGTTAAGCTTGAGATCCGTCACTAAGCCACTAAACTTACCTTGTTGTGCACCACTATGCTCATTCCTAGCTCTTCCAGTAAATATTTTAAGACCTATACTATATCTAGTGATGTAAAAATCTGGTATTTTGATACATTTCTTTTCCTTTCAAACACAGAAAACAAACTGATTTCTCCAATATCCATTACTGGCATTTTGTTTTCTTTAATCAACTTATTTACACTGTTCAGATCAGCTGGTTATTGGGTTTGTTGTGCATCAAACAAGTTTTGCAAGCAGGGAAGCTGCAGAGTGCCCTCTGGCGGACAAAATATTCATCAACACTTATACCATAGAAGAAGGGTGTTTCTTTTGTTTGTCTTTTTTAAATATATAATTCGTTATATAGAAATGCTGATACCAATACACAGACACATAGGTAATATCGGCTGATAATACTGGCCCGCCGATAAATCAGTCAGACTTTGAGGGTTTTTTCAACCTTTCGTCCTACATAAAAAGCTGTTTGTGACCAGAATACATGTTGTTATAATAAGTATTAATAAATAAACAATTACCACCAACTCTTCCTCCTCTTCTTCCTCCTCCTCCTCCTCAGCAGGGGCATCTTCCTCCTATTCAGAGACATTTATATCAATGTTTTAAAATCCAGTTACAACCCAGCACAGCTTACAGATTTATAGGGCTTTTTTTAAGTTTTGTGTACATTTTTATTAATTACGTTAAAGAATGTCCAGATATTGTAATCACCTAATAAAACTGTGCCGTATGAAACGCACTGAATCAGTCACAGTTAAAATAAGCAGTCTCTCAGGGTAACACCGTCAGCTGCCAGCCTCGTTTAATGGCGATAATTATATTAAAGGGTCTTAAAAGGAGCTGACAGTAAACTCGCAGGTTACACCGCTAAACTGAGCAGCAGATTTGGGTAACTTCGTCAAACACACACACAGACCAGTCTATAAAGACACAATACGATATTTTTCGGTACCTCATCGTCGGGGTCCCCGTGTGTGAGCATTTTTTTCTCGAAAACCATGGTTATGTCTGACAATTTTACAAAATAAAACTCAGAAAGCTGAAACTCCTCGGTTTCACTACTTCTGTTCGAGGACGCGAGGTCGGTCACACGCCGGAAACTACTAGAAGGATAACCGGATAACGTTTCCTATTGGTTGACTGAAATTATTGATGTCCATGTGAACCAATAACAGATCTCCATTTTGTATAAGGCCCTACCCCATTCAAATATTCAATGCGTGCGGAACCATTGTTTAACTGTCAGCGCAAAGTCGGACGAAAAAAAAGCAGGGGCACGGCAAGATGGCGCTGCTCTGGGACACCAGCCTGCTGTTAAGAAAAGTTAAAGATTTAAGATGTTTGACACCCAGACGACACCGAGTGAAAGAGAAATGGGTACGTGCTCAACATTAATAATGCCAGACAGTATTTGCATTTAGATCTCGTGTGGCTGCTAAACACAGTGAAAAAGAGAAAAAATGGTAAACTCTGTAACATATTGTATTAGTTAAATCGTTTCGTCTGTTACTGTCTTGGAGCAACTGTAACCCACATCATTTCCTTAGGGATTAATGAAGTATTCTCACTCTGATTCTGATATAAGGTAAAGACAGAGGTTGTACAGGTCTAAATACCTTGAAAGTTAATATTTGCCTTGACCACATTTATTCTTCAGCACAGCAGGAACTCTCTTATTAGTGAGATTGAGATCCTAATCTTTATTCAAGCTTATTGTCATTTCTTTAAGTAATCTTCAGAAATAGTTATTCGGGCTTCTTGAAGGACATTCAGAGCTCATCTTTGGATGTTGGCTGCCTTTTGTTTTGTTATCTGTCAAGATGACCCTACACTGTTTCAGGAACGTCGAAATCCGGGCTCTGGGGAGGTCCAATCCATGACTGATAGTGTTTCACTTTGTGTTTTTGTATCCAGATTTACTTGTATTATCCTGTTGCCAGTCAGACACTTCCTAGATGTGTTGCAAAGTGGATTGAAATTTGACCATACATTTCTGTGTTTATAGTTTCATCCATTTTGACGAGATCCCCAACACCCAACACGACTTTCAGATGCTGTTCATATTGTAGATAGTTTGGGGGTTTTAGCCCCTTTTTTTCTCGATTCGTCTGGTTTCTTTGGTCAAATCAGTCCAAAAATGATGTTTTTTGTCTATCAAACTGTTTTATCTTTGGCATTTTTTTACATTCATTTTACATTCAATTAAAGAAATTGGAAGAGATGATGTGTTTTGTGACAGCCTGGTAGTAACAAAGTGCCTAAAGATACAATTTAAAACTGGTTCTTTGTTAAGTTGTTTGTTAAGACACAACCCTGGTTCATCATCATTTGTTCTGAAATGATTCATAGGTCAGTGTTGTGTGGCTTTACAAAAAGAAAACTTGCCTCTGAAAATGGTCAGGTACATATATTTATACACAGATGTACATTATAGGTCTACTCTAATTTTACACGTATTAAAGCCAGCTTTCCACTCTCCTGGGCATTTAAATTTTATATTGAAATTGGCACAAAGAGAGCATTGATAAAAATGAATTAACATTTATATTAAATGTCCTCCTCCTTTGCTCTCTGACAGGCTGCTACACGTCCCAAGCTCCCACCCACCAGATTGGCCGTGCATCACTTTGACGCCACCTATAGCACTCAGCTGGGGCAGCTGTGGCCCTCAGTGCGACTCGCCATGCTGTCAGAGAGAAAATATGGAGCCCTGCTCAATAATTTCTCCCATAACGCTGCTCTGACAGAGCTCGAAGCTCAGGGATGCGTAGATTTCATCAGTGAAAGAGAGAAAGACGGTAAGTGCGCTAGCCTCAGTCACAGTTGTGGTTATTGCTTATTACTGATGCAGGAAATGCTGTGCTGTGGCAATCTCTGATGCTCTGAAGAGTTCAGAAAATTTTATGAAGCTAGCGCTGGAGTGTGAATGATTTGATTTAAATTCATTCAATAGACTATTTACTAAAACATTTCACTGGGAAAAGTCAATATCTTAGTAATTAACACTATTAAAAACTCACTTACTGTATATCATCTATTGACTGGCATGTAATTTGCAGTTCCTTCTTGCTTGGAGGAAAAATCAGAGGAACCTAGTGATGTTTCCATGAAGAGCTCTGACGCTGATGGCGAGCAGCTATCTCTAAGCCCAAACATCAAGTGTTTAGTGTTTCCGAGAGGCGACGTGACACGATTCAAGCCTGCAAGGTGAGCAATATTTCCTATCCTGCTACTAACAACAGCATCTTCTAGCAGCGTGCAGTCTGATCCTCAGTTCTCTTTTCTCCTCTTCAGGCCAGACAAGAACGGCCTGTTGGGTTACTACCTGATGGACGCAGCATCTCTGCTGCCCTGTCTTGCACTGGATGTTCAAGAAGGTCACAGCGTGCTTGACCTCTGTGCTGCTCCAGGAGGCAAGACCCTGGCTTTGCTTCAGACCCAGGCCATCAGTAAGTCAAAGTACTTTTACCCTTTTTCAGTTTGTTTTTTGAATCGCCGGGCCAAAAGTCTTTATCACCTATGCTCTATTTGCTGTTCTGCTGTTAACCGTCCACCTGTTTGTGTTTACGTCAAAGGGTTTTTGTGCATAAATGACAGCTCAGTGTCTCGAACACTACGACTGAGGAAGGTCCTCCACAGCTATGTTCCTAAGCATTTTTTGACAAATGAGAACCTGCGCATCACCTCTTTCGATGGCACCAAATGGGGGGAAATTGAAAGCAACACTTTTGACAGAGTAAGCCAGTGCCACATTGTCACAGTCATCCTTTTCACGTTTTGCTCTTTGTCGTTATGTTTTTATTCAAAAACTTTGTTTTGTTCAGCCTTTCCTTTTTTTCCCCTCTAAATTCAGGTCCTTGTTGACGTTCCCTGCACCACAGACAGACATTCACTCATGGAGGACGACAACAACATATTCAGTAAGAATCGGACTGGGGAGAGACGCAGGCTCCCGCAGCTACAGCTGGAGCTGCTGCTGTAAGTTTGGAGGAAATGTGAACAAAATGGGCTTTGAGGCTGTTAAAGTTTGCATGGTTTCATATAAATATGCGCACAATTAAGCAAAATAACAGCTGGTAGTGAGAACTTTTATTTAGATGTTATGTAAATCGAACCCTCTGTGTTTCCTGCAGAGCGGGAATCCAGGCTGCTTGTCCTGGTGGGGAGATCCTCTACTCCACCTGCACGCTCTCACAGAACCAGAACCTCAGTGTGGTTGAACAGGCTATCTACCAAGCTCGAGAGAAAGATGGCATCCATCTACAGGTTAGTGAGAGACTTTTTTTGTATCAATAAGAAACACGTCAAAGTTGTGGGAGATATAAAACGCACAGAAACTGAAATCAGACCTCGAATAACTGCCCATTTTTCTTTTATTTCCTCATATCTCGATCACATTCAGGTTGTGGATCTGAGGCCCCTGATGCGCATGTTCGGGAACACCTTTCACTTCGCTCCGGACCTCCACCTGGGCGAGATGGTCATCCCGCACCTAGCAGCTAACTTTGGACCCATTTACATGTGCAAGTTAAAGAGGCTGACGTAGGACGTGGACTCTTGCACAAGTTCGCCTGAGACTTTCAAATACTGAGCAACTCTGCTGCCAGATTTGGAGTCAGCTGGATTTGCAAACTGCTTCTGGTGGACCCGGGCTTTCATCATAACTGTTTTCCGGAGCTTTTTGAAGCCTTCTAAGCCAACCATGACTCTCAGAGACGTTTCTCCTTTTTCCTCTGTTTTCTCAGTCCTATATGATTACTAAGCCTTAACACTGGGTCACCTTTGCAGGCTACACAGCACATGTAAATAATATCAGTTTTAGATTGTGCAGGTAAAGCATGAGACAAACAGGAAAGAGATTTTTCCTCAGTGCAGAATTGGATCAGTCAATTCACCAGACACGAGGACAGGTGACTCTGAGCGCACAATATCCCATCCAAATCCTAACACTTTTTTTTTTTTTTGCAGCTTTCTAGTAGGGTCCTTATGCTTTAAAACTAGCTGCACGAGCTGATGAATGACCTCTTTTTAGTTTCAAAGGGACGTGAGGAGTACTTCCTAAAGTCTGGCCTGCACTGACACCCGTCCCTTCAGTGTCCTCATCATTCATGCTGGTCATCATGATTGATGCACTAAACTGCTGTTAAACGAATAATTAAACTGAACTTATTGACGATGTGGATGTTTAGGTTTTTATCAGTAAACCATTCAAATTAATGTAAGTTAAATTTACATTATCACTAGAAATCACCCGAGGGCACACTGTGCACCAGAGTGTTCTTTGCACAGATCTTTTCTACTGTGACATATTAAAGAGATGTGACACACAACCAGGATATGCATATGGCCGTGTGAGAAGAAGTCAAATAGTCATTCAATAAGTTGTTAGTCAGCACTTTACGTTCTTATCACATTTTGAGTGTGATTAAATGTTAATATTTAAGTGGTGCTCGTAAGTTACAGGCGATAGCTACAAGAAAACAATGGACAGAGGATTAAGATTACAATTAGGAAGGATGTGTCATTTTCTTTAAAGGTCTCCTCCACTCATATATAGCTATTTATGAGTTGCTGTTTAATTTTTGCCCTCTAGGTGTCAACAGTAGATCAAGATTACAAGTGTCCTGTATCTTCCTTGTCCACTAGAGGACACTGAGCGTTTATATGTGGAAATGCTACTGTAATTCCACTATGTGTGTTTGTCTTGCTGTACTTTGTCAGCTGCACAGGGATGATGTTTGTGGTTTGGGGAAAAAAACACAAATTTCCATCAGAATTACCTGCTCTCTTTAGCTCGGCAATGAAAATGGGCTTGTCTTGTTCTTTGCTTATTCATCAGGTTTGATGGCTTTGCCTAATAATGCGATATATGGCTGTGTGAGAGGAGGGCGTAATGAAAAGGCAGGTAATGACTTCTTTGACCATTTGGCTTCTCACATCTGAATCTGCGCAGCTTTCATTACTATAGCTGGATTGAGTCCGTTTTTGCATCGGCATCACTCAGAGGTGAAATGGTTCCTCTTATCACAGCCTAATGTGAGCGCAGAGGTGCCTCTTTTTCTTTTTTTTCCATCACACCGCCGATGACCCTTTATGTTGTCCTGGCCCAGGCAATGTAGCATGAAAAAAGGTGTGTGTCTCTGTGTGTGCGTGTTTCTTAACGAGTCCACCATCCACATCCCACTGTCATTAAGCTGCTCCGGAGCTGACTCCCATCCCCGTGCCGGGATGGACGTCAGCCATGCGGCTCCCAGATGAACATTAAAGAGGCAGCAGAGAGCTAAAATGGGACGACTCGCCCCGTTTTGCCCCTCCGCTTTTTTTTATTCCACAGATGAGTGCAGATAATTTTCTGTGCGATTGTGAGTGATTACTGTATTACTGCGGTAAAAGGGGGATGTATCGGGGAATGCAGGGGGAATTAATGACACATAAAAACTATTTTTGTATTGACTGCGTTCGTCCCCAGGGCCTCGAATGCCTCCTCGCATATCTTGTGATTACCTAAACGTATTGTAAATATGTGTTTCCTATGGGCTCCTACATAAATTTACATGTTTTAACACTCAGGAGACGGCAGACTGTTAGAGATGAGTTACTCTCTATTCTGCCTGTCTATAGACTCGACTGGCTGCCTGCTTTATTATTGAATTAGCCAATGAAGCGCTGTGCGTTTGTGTCCCTATGTGTAAGCCTGTGTTAGGGAGACATGCTGTGTATTAGAAAGATGAATATTATGGATTTAACTACACACCCACATGCTTCCGCTGTGTTTTCTAGTACAATTTTTGTTAATAAACCTGCAAAAACACTAATGGTTTGATGTTTTCACCTTGTGCCTCACGAGCTCGGAATGAATGTTAAAACTGAGCATCTACAGCAGGTTGTTTTAATAGTTAAATCGGTGTTTGTGCCGTCAGTGGTTCAAAGTAAACTTTAAGGTGTCTGTTTGGTAAAGACACACATGGAGGAATGTTGCAGGTTGTAGTAGTTAAGCTGCTCTTCCTGCTGTGGAGATTCCAGCCCAGAGGTGAAGTTCAGACTCGTGTCCCAGCTAGCAGCGGGGCAGAAGATCTCAGCAGTGGGGGTCTTTGTTGCAGATACATTAATGTAGACTTGAGCCCAGCAGGATGTGCTCTCTGCTGTTCTCAACCACAGAGTGCACAGAAATGCTATAGAGTGTGTGTGTGTGTGTGTGTGTGTGTGTGTGTGTGTGTGTGTGTGTGTGTGTGTGTGTGTGTGTGTGTGTGTGTGTGCGCGCGCGCGTTTTTCCTTCTTCATTTTCAGAGTGCAGCTGTTCGTCTCTTTACTGTTCAGCTCCACAGCTCGCTCATATTTACAGGCATCCAGTCGTCTATTTACATTTTACCAAAAGATCATTTGCACGTTGTGTTTTTTTGATGCTTGTGTGGAAATGTTAGAAACTTGAGAGAGGTGGAGACGGACTGAGAGCAGTTGACCTGCCTTTTTCTTTAATTTTCAGACTTTTCCACTTTGAATAATTTATAATTACTCAACGGTTACACTGGAACAGTAGATCTACAGCCACAGCAGTGAAGCAAACCTCACCAATAGACACAAGGTTTTATACACACTGAATGTACTTGTTTTATTTGTTTTCAATGTGGTAAATAAAGATACTTTTTAAAATAAATAATAAAAAGAATTTGTGGTGGATTTTCTACACACGTACAGGGGTCTGTTTTCAGTGACTATAACTACTGTGTTACCTGTTGAGTTTATCATGCAAAGGTTTTATCCATATCACGAGCCACTAATCTGTGACTTAAATATTTCACATGGACCTTACAGTTTGATCCAACAGGCCCATACCAACACCGTACCATTTAACGGTTTTCATAAAATGAGGTTCATATACTAGACGTGTTTTCACTGTGTAATCTAAGCATCCGTCGACAGACTCGATGCTCCGTGAAGTGGCTGGGAGAGCTCCCGTTTGGTTTAGTGACGCCCACATTGGAAATGCACCCCAAGGTTTAGACTGCAGCCAGATTAAGAAGAGAGAGAATTGGGGTTTTCTTCTCTTTAAGAAGATTACCCAGGAAGGGGCGAGATGGCAGTCAGAGTGTTTAAGAGAAAAAGGGCAAGAAGAAAATGGAAGATGAAGTGGAACTAAAGGAGGGTGGCCCTGGATACACAGTTTAGCCACCTGTTGTCGGCCTCTTGATATCACTCTCTTCTTTGTTTCTCTGTCCACGTAACCCATTTCCCTCTGTTTATGTCTGTGAAAGGTGTTAGGGAAAGTGGCAATGATTGTTTCCACTTTTCGGCAGAAAATGTGAGTTAAATGACGAAGCCTTTTTTTTTTCCTGGGCAGCTGTGAGTCTGATTGTACTTGTGCTTCCCTCTCCCTTAAGTTCGTGCTGGTGGTTTCCAGGAGAGCTTTGATGTGTATCTGGGCAATGCACTATTAGAGGGATTTCCCCGGGTCTGACAGCTCAGAGAATATGCTGCGAAATGGCAATGCCACTGGGCTAAAAGAATGCTGGAAACAGGATTAGGATCATATTCTGGCAGACCCTGTCACCTACTCAATGGGCCGAGATTTCCAACACTGGCAGTTTTCATTCTCGCCATGGTTTAAACCTTTGAGAGAACCATGGAGAGGAGGGAGAAAAAGGACTGATTGAATGGTACACTGTGATTTTTGTGTGGGGGTCTTGCTCCGAGGGGCTGTGTGTGTGTGTGTGTGTGTGTGTGTGTGTGTGTGTGTGTGTGTGTGTGTGTGTGTGTGTGTGTGTGTGTGTGTGTGTGAGAAGCAGAAGCATATTTTCATGCTTTTTACAAACTAAAAGTTTGCAAGACTGGATGGATTTTTTTACAGATACACACACAGGACACACATCGCCATCACTTGCTTTAAGGAAAGTAAATGAGCATCTCTAACTGCCTACAAATAAGTGGCTATGGCCTCAGTGAAGCCCTGAGTGTTAGAGATGGAAGCGCCTGATCCAGCATCAAGGGCTCAACACACTTGACCCTGAAGCAGTACAATCAAGCAATCCCTGTTCAGCCCCCAGGGTGTGTGTGTGTTGGGGGAGCAATGGGTGTTAAGGGGGGGGGGGGAGTGAACATTTGGAACAAGACTATTGTTATGTTCTCTGGTCCAAGGCCCCATGGGAGGAAATCCTGCCATGTACCTGGACAGATTCCTCCTCTGGATAACAAGGACATTCACTTTGGATGCAGACATATCAGTCACACATCAGCGTGCCCTTGGCCGAGGACACGCGCGTGTATGTGGTGTAATAAAACACAACAAGGTTTAGGGTGAGGTGTTACACCCACATTAACGCTGCTAATCTGGTGAGATCATTATCCCCGTCTGTCCAAATTTTGGGAAGCGGTCGTTCATAACTGCAGCCGAGGTGCATTAGTTATTTACACACACGTATACACACACACACTGAGAGGGACATATGTATATTCAAGGCTAATTCATTTAAGAGCAGAACAATGTCACATACAATACATGTAAAGTTTACTGTGAGAGGAGCAAGGGCGTGCTTTAGAGGATGTGGCAGAGATGCCCAGTTGCCCTGAGTGTGTGTGTGTGTGTGTGTGTGTGTGTGTGTGTGTGTGTGTGTGTGTGTGTGTGTGTGTGTGTGTGTGAGAGAGAGAGTACGGTTGGGTGGGGGTCTGCATTTTGACAAACCATGCTGTTAAAGATATAATAGCAGCATAATCACCGCCCCAGGCTGTCATTCTTCAGGATAATGGCCTGCTTATTCATTGGGGATGCCGTATGTCCCCACGCTGCTTTTTATTTCCCAGATATTTCAGATTACGTGTTTCTTTCGTTGCTCCTGTACCCTTTGTCTTGTTACAAATTCTCATGTATTTGTGTTTGTATTTTTAGTGTTCTTTAAATTTGACCTTCCCTCCGCTCTTTCATCGTCCCCGTGCCTTTTCTTTGCTTTGCTCGTTCTCTCTTCTCATCATCCATGTCTTCAGACTAAACTGATATATTAAATATGTACTTGCTTATATTAATTGCAGGACTTTGAGGTCCTTCACTCAGTCAGTTGGTTTTATGTTTTGCTTACCTGAAAAATGGTGTAACAATATTACAAATATAAAGCTTGATCATATGCTTGTCATATCTTTAACTTCATGCTGTTTAATGACTTTTTTTCAAGGTTTGTCCGTGAACACCCGTCCCGTCTAAATCTTCAGCAAAAATCAAGAAGTCTTCATTGTAAAGATCTTCAGGCAATGTTTTTATTTGAAGTTATTTTACAACAACACAAGTTCAAGTCTACATTATTGAGAGGAGCAAAGAAAACAACACTGCTGATGGTCCGGTCGCTCTCCTCCACCTTTACATATCTATTTAGCACCGGACCAAGTAGTTTGACAGAAACAGTCGGGGAACAGCATTAGAAACAACAACAGAACTCAAATAGAGTTGAGACAGCAGAACACAGAGGACTCAGGTCAATTATTCACTGAGATGTCTTCTCCTTCTTTTGCTTTTACACCTGGATTGATTGAAAAACACGGAGGGTGGTAGTTCGCCAGAAAATTTAAATGTGCTCAGGTTCTTCTTTTAAATTAATTCTCGAAGAAGGAAAAAAAACTTAAAATTTTAAATATCAGTTCAATCCAGGAGTGTTAAAATGACAACCAAGACAGGAGGGGGTGGACAGGGCTGTCGGTGAGCTCAGTAAATACAATCTTACAATCTGACAAGGAATTTTATCTGAGACAGAGTCCATTATTATTAATTATACAACATAATAGGAACTTTACAATTACTTTACCAGTAAACATTAATAGATAGACTTTTTTTGTATTTTACATATTAAAATAATGTGCTTTTTTTTTTATTTGAAGACATTATCTTCCAAAACACATTAACGGAAAACATCAGAGACGTGTGTGATTCTCATCAAGTGCTGACGGTGTGGCTTTCAATGAAAAGCTGCATGTTTCCTCGAGAGACTATTAAGGCGGGAATAATACAAGTCAAGACGATCTTTAACCGAGTCCTAATATGTTTACCATCGTTCTGTATTCACAGAAGATGAACAAGTCATTGCAAAGTCGTGCGTCTGCCTCAGTCAACAGTTTTGGCATACGGACTCTTTGAATCTAAAAATGCTGCATTAAGTGTTACGCGTGTTTGTAATTGCACTCGCCCCAGCTCCCTCAGCCCAGGGCAAAATGTAATTAAAACCTCTGAGAATTTAGTCACTGAAATCATTTGCTCATTATCAAGCCAGCCTCTGTACAAAGTGGCATATTAGTGGCTATTAAACTAGTGAATTAGTCACTTATAATTATGGTGTTGAGGACAACATGACTCGGGTTTATTTTTATTTATGTGCTGTTGTGTTTTACGTGGTATGTACATAACCACACGGCTTCACTGAAATGTCTCTTTGCTGCACGAGTGATTCCTTCCAAAGTGCCTCATTTATTCACATTGTTCTTGTAAACATTATTTGCATTGTTATTTTTCTTGTTTTGCTTTGTTTAAGTGAGCGCGTCCAGCCGTTCACACCATTTTTCATGATTCTTTTTCATTTATTTAGGAAGGTCCAGCATTGCATGACTGTTGGAAGTATTTTCATTTTATGGAGTGTTGCATCTTACAGCAGTGCTGTCCATTATCTTGGGGGTTTTCTCTTTTCCAACGATACGCTGAGCTGCAACAGAAGCTATGAGAAGTCGAGCAGGTGGTCGACATGTGGTGCGTTTTGAAGAGATGTTAAATGGAGATCTGTAGGTCCAAAGCATTTTGGCGTGTTTTATTTATACATACATCTCTGTATGTTCTGTGCCCATCTGC